AACTCTACTCTCACCCCAATTCGGGTCCCGGCACTCACAGCAGTCTCTGGTTTCCTTAAGTTTCAAGGTCATTAAAATTGCACCCCTCCTTTTTCTTCCCTGGAATTCAAATGTGAAAATGTCAAGGACCACGTGAGGAAGTGGAATCACTTTCAATGAACACTGACCAGCTTCCCTCATCTCCTGCTCTGGGGTCGCACTGCCCCTCAGACAGCTCGGAAGAATTCAGACCCCAGCACCCCAGGCCACAGAGGAGGGAAGATCTGGGACCACCATAGGGGCATCTGATACTCCTGGGTTTTAAAGAAGGGGTCCGTCTGCTACAATCCGGGCCACAGGCACCTCTTGCTGCAGAGACGAGGCTACGCCGCGGCCTGCTCACTAGGCAGGCGCACACCTGCCCAGGTACAGTTAACTTGCAGTAGCATCTGGGCTGCTCTGCTGCGTGGAGCTGCCTGTGAGGCAAAAGCAAACAGAAGTGTTTGCTTGTGGCTGGCCACCTGCTCTCCTCAGAGCCCAGGTGGTGCCTCAGAAGCAGTCCTTCAGGTCTCACCAGGAAGCCTTCTAAGGGGCACCAGCATGCCTGGGAGGAGCTGCCCGAGTACAACATTACTCCACCCAATAGTCAGTAGATATCGGGACAGATTCCCAGTCTCAGCCTGGGGGTGGGAAGGGTCCCTGAAGCCCCCTACAATACATCACGTGGCTATGAGGCTTGCTCAGGGCCTCTCCACTGCAGAAAACAGGGTAGGTGATAAGGGAAGGAACAGCTGAGGAAACAAAGAGGGAGGAAGCAGGCACTGTCTACAAGAGCTCTTTGGCGTCCTGGAACCCCTGTCAGGAAAGGATCTCTGTCCTCTGGAAAAAACTAGAGCCCCACTGCAGGTGGCACAGCCCCAGCCTCCCCCAAATCACAGGTCACAAAGCCCTGTCTGTTGTTACGAATGGGGACCACTGTACCAACTCCACAGCTTCCTAGGGTGAAACACCTCATAGCACAGCACAGAGGACAGCCCTCACACGGTAGAGAGACAGGAGGCGGCCCCACTACCATCACCTCCTCTGTGGTCCACCTTCAATGCTGCTCCCTGCTGGGACTGCCTAGCATCCTCGTTGCCTTGTCTCGTTGTCAGCTGCTCAGCTCTATCTGAATTGCACCTCTGTCTCTCCCAAACTACTAGGTGTGGTTTTTGCTGATGGCTCCTCCTTTCAAAACAACACTCAAGGCTCTTGATTAGTGCCATCAAGGCGTTCACACAGAAAAATAGCGGGGAAGGAGGAAAAAGAGGAAGGCAGAACGATGATGGAAGAAGACTGAGGTAAGAGATCAGCAGTAGGCACGCCCCAGCCCTTACTCCAGAAGCGCACCCCCTCCCGCCTCCCCCACAACACACTCCTCCACAGTGCAATCACGGCCGCGCATCTCCAGAGTGAGTGGAGGCTGGACTCCCAGCCAACTCCGCCCTCGCTTCCTGGGCATGCAGTGTGTGTTCCTCTGTCAGTCTTTCCTAGTGCCCTGGGGATGTGGATTCCACCTGGATGATGGCACACAGGTACACCCCTCCCCTAGCACAGCCCCGTGGTTAGAGCACCAGGTGCCTCAGCAGACACTGCGCGAGGACAATCCTGGAGTGCCTTGTCCCCACCAGCCCTCGGGTTACACACAAACATGTCTTCTAGCCATGCCTGGAGCACACAGGCTCCCTTTCCAGGGCAGCTCTGAGAGAGCCAGGCCTAGTGTTCATTCCTAACCCATGGGACTTCCACTGTCAGTAAGAGCAGCAAGCATCTCACGTAGAACTCTGCTCAGACCCAGAGGGGCTCGGGCCTCATGTCTGTGAGTGGTGCTCTGTGTCACTTGTCACCCCTAGATCTGGTCTTTCTCTAGAGAACCTGCTGTCAAACATGAGTGACTTGCTATGCTGTGACAGACAGGGACACTCCCTTTTCCTAGGCTCCATCTCTGCTCCTGGAACCAAGCCCTCTTGGCCCAGAGATAAGATTTGCTAAAAACAAGAGACCAGGAGCTGGAGAGTCCTTAGCTTTCGATGGGTTCCAGAGTCTAGAGATTGGGAGCGCCTCAGTTTGTTCACCTGTAAAATGGGAAAAAGATGACAACCCTCACAGCGTTGTCCACAGGATAACCAGGGTAGTCATTGCTGGTTAGCTGGAAATGGTAGCAGCAGAGTCCTCTGCCAGGCTGCAGAGATGATCCCGAGGGAGGTAGCAGCTTCCAGCTTCCCTTTTGCCTTCCTATCCCAGGCTCCATTTCGACAGATACCATAATTTTTAATTAGTTTTCCCTTCCCCTGGCTAAAAGGCCATTAGCACCCCATTAGGTGAATGCATCCCATTTTCTTCACACCACCAAGAAAACAAGTGATTTACTTAGTCCATTCCTAGAGCAATTCTACAAAATAAAGGCAACTTAGAGCATGGCCCAGTCACTTCCCCACTTTCTGTTTGCTCTCAGGCCCCACCCTCAGGAGCTTCCTGGCTGGCCCAGCAGGGAGAAGGGGCACTGGGGCTCAGCAGCTGGAGGGAAGAGCCAAAGAAGGACCCAGGTGAGCCTGGATCTGGGAGGATCAAGACAAATCTCTGGGATCCCCTGGGCTCACTAGGGGAAGGGAGGAAAAAGGAAACAAAGAGGTCAATCTGTGTGTCCCTGACACCAGCGGCTTCATCACAAGGTTGTTGGTGTATACACATACGGGTCCCTCACACTTACAGAAGTGCTGTCTAGAAAGGGACCCTCCCAGTACATGGTGCCAGATCCTTTGGTTCTTAACAGCTAGAGAGGTTAAACAAGATGCCATGCCAAGGAAGATGCCAGGTAGCTGGGACATGGGGTGGGATGGGGGAACTAAGGCTCTCTGGGATATGTATGGGAGCCGAGAAGCTGCAATCTAGTATCCTCATCCATACAGTCAAGTTGTATCTGTACTGAGCAGTGGAAAAATCCAGAAAATTCTAACAACTTAGAGAAGGAGGCTGCCATCTGTAGGTCTAGGACACTGGGCCGACAGTAATGAGAAGATGGGGGCGGGGGTTACAGCACTGTAGGAAGGGAGCCATGCCATGCTGTAGGAGTGCATGTGTGCCCACTGGTCTTTTGAGCATGAGTTCATGAGGAAGGATGGGAGCACGTCTTGATGATGACCTGAAATGAGGGATAAGTGTGAGCTGAGTGAGCAAGGCTCCCTCCCTTTCCTCTACAGACCCACTCCAAACCCTGGGACACAGGTCCAGCAACTACGACATCGACACCGTGACCACTAGAGGGCGCAGGAGGTCTAGCAGCTCCCTATAACTCGTTGAGAAACCGCACCCGAGCTCTGGTGGCAGTCTGGAGCAGATCATTGGTGTCACAACCACTGCTCCAGAGCCGAGGCTACAGGACTTCTTCAAAAGCCCAATTATTTCTTCCTGGGTATGAGGCCGCTGCTCCCCTCTCCGGACCACTATCATGGTTTCTTGGACATCCAGAAACGGATGGATATAAGGCAATGGCTCTCAGTCCCTGGATTCTATACACGATCTGGAGCTACCTCATTCTATTGGCCAGGGGTCTCACGCAGAAAGCTCCCTATATCCCCACCAAATGCCCAGGCCAGACCCTTGAGCTAGGCTGCTGCAAGCACTGGAGACCTTGCTAAACACAGGGCTCGGAGGGTTTGGGGAAGCTGCCTGGCTCATGTCTTCCTAGTTCACTCCTGAATACACACCTGAAACTATAAAGTTAAAATCCAAAGACGCAGAGAAGTTCCATTTGTCACACAGCCTCCTGCTTACATGCCCTCTGCAGCACTGCAACCCAGCACCCAAGACCTAGGAACATACTCTCCAATACCCCCCACCCCAAAGGATGATAAAATAGTCATCCCATCCCCCTCTCGGCATCCGTCTCTACGATGCTCCAAGGACAACAAACACATCCCTGAGCTCGTCTGTAATTCCAGTCTCTGAAGGACACGGGACTAGAGGCAAGATGGCCAAGGCCTTTTCTGTTTTCAAAGGCTGCAAACAGGGAGAGAGAAAAGCCCTTTGTAAGGAAGGAGAGAACGGTGGCATGGGCTCTGTTCTGGTATCAGAGAGAAACTTGGTATGTATTTTCCAGAGCGGGGGAACCAAGTTAGGATAGGTTGGAAGGACAGTAACAGGTGCAGCCACGAGGATTAGCATCCTGTATCCTTAAGGGTTTGTTTGGCCAGGGTATTGGAATGAGAACAGCGACCAGCCTTTAAAACCACACCTAATGAAGAACTCCTATGTGTGTATGATGCTGAGCACATCGCCACACTCCACTCCCGAGTGGCCGGGCCCAAAGCACTGGGTAAATGTCAGCCCTGGATTCTATTACACCCCCAAAAGCCACACTTTTAGGTGCTCCAGCTGAAAACCGGCAGGGCTCAGACCTTGACATACCCCCAGGGGGAAGATACGACAAAAATCACAGGTTTTTCGGTTTTTAAAGACCAGGGCGGCAAAAACACACAAGGAAAAAAATAGCCTTTACCAAAGAGCCTCCCTTCAGATAGAAGAGAGAAGCTACAGATAGTGCGGGAGTGAAACGTGGAAGACCTGGAAGCAGCAGCCTTCAAGCGCTGGCGCAAGTCGCGGGCTTCCCAAGGCTGCCTAACCCCGTCCGCTCGCAGCTGCTCCCCAACCGCGACAAGATCTGTCCGCTTTCCCCGGGCACGCGGCCGCAGCTGGAGGTGCGACCAGCCTAGGGTGCGCAGCTGCGGCTTTGGCGGAGCACCCACCACGCCGTTCGTCCGGCGACCCGCACCGACCGGAGCCCCGCCCAGCCGGCGGCCAGAGCGCTCCGGGTGCAGCCGCTAGCCGCAGAGACCCGGTTCCCAGGCCCGGAGGCCACCGGGCGCGCAGCCGGCCTATGCCAGCCAATGTCAGTGCGCTTCTGCGCGCGTCAGCTCCCCGATTCGGTGCGCAGCACTAACTTCGCCCCGATCGCTACCGTCCCAGCCGCCCGTAGGACTCACCTTCGCCCAGCAGCGGCAGCAGCAAAAACAGCTTCAGCCCCAGCCCTGGGGCGCCGGACGTCGCTTTCGCCATCGCCCGTGCGCGCGAGAGCCGCTGTTGAAGAGCGGGCGGGTCTGGGCGGTGGGGTTCGGCGCTCAGCCGGGCCTCCCCATGCCAGCCGGGGCGCAGCGGGCACTGCGGGCGCGTTGCGTCCGGGCTCGACTCCCAGGTGCGGACTCGGAGCCGCTCTCCGCTGCTGCGTGCACTGCTCCGGTTGCAGACCTGCGCTGGCTGCGCCCCGGGAGCTGACTGGGGCAGGGCAGGGCGCAGAGGGAGGGGCAGCGGGAGGGGCGGGACCGGGGGGGGGATGTGCGGGTGTGTGTGTAGGGGCGGGGCTCCAGGTACTTCGTGGGGCAAGGTGGGACGGCACCCGACTGTTGCGGGAACTGCGATTTCCTTTCTTACTGAGGGCCGGTTGGAACTGGGTGCGTTTAGGTTGACGTGCGGGTGCTGGTCCACTGTAGGCAGTCTGAATTCATGATTATCTGCCGGTACAGCCACTTTCTCACCCTGCGCGTCTGCTTGCTGTTGCGTTTGTCCTTTCCCGCCTCCCAGAAAGAGCAACACAGAAGATTCAAGGTCTGGGCCGACTGGTTACCTATACCCTCAAAAGAGACCCAGACACTAGACGGATGTTCCTCCAGTCTCTGGACTCGAGAGCATCCTCCGCCATTTATCAGGGGGGCGGGAGTGGGAAGTGCGTTTAAAGCCTGCAGCCTTTTCTGGGGCTAGAGGCTGGAAGAGGGGAGGAGCCCTGACCAAGAGAAAGAGGGCCAGAGAGCCTGCTTCTGTGATATATATCCTGTGATGGAGAGGGTGGGGGTCTTGTTCGGCTTGTTTGTTATGCCCAGGAACGGTCCAACCAATAGAATCAAGAAACTGGCTAATGGCACGCCTTTCAAAGGCTGTAGTCTAACGCAGTATTTGGAACTGTATGCTCTTACCAAATAGAAGAGCTTTTTGGATGTGAGCTGACAGACTACGGCAGCTGGTACAGGGGTGCGTGCGTGTTGGGGGAATGGAAACAAGTTTGCCAGAAGAATCTAATTCCCCCCACAAAGAAATTATGCCTAAGTATATTTACCCTGATATGGGCGCTTCTAGATGGGAAATGGAAGGTCAGATGTGGGCTCTAGATCTCTGTGGGGGAAAGCCCAGCTCTCCCCATTCCCAGCTGCCCTTTGAAGCCTGGTTTGCACCTAGTGGAAGGAAAGGAAAACAGACTCTTGTCGGCTCTTGGAGTGAACAAACAGGTCCCAGAACCTGTGCCCGGGGAGGGCTCAGCTGTTCCTCTCCTGCAGTATGCGGAGCCCCACCCTCCTGCTTGGCTGAGCTCAGGGCTGAATAAGCAATCTGTACATCACTCTGCAGATATGAAGTCAAAGTGAAGTCACCCTCACAGGCAGGAGCAGAAGCTGCCAAGACACAGACTGGCTTGGGAGCAGGCCAGCTGAGATGTTATTCAGAGCTTGTGTGCTGGTGGGTGGGTGTCCAGACCACCAGCCTTCCAGCTGTGGAGAGGCATCCTGAGAGCCCTGGTATTTGGGTTTACAAAGCTGGAGTCAGTCACAGGGTGCCAATACACCTGACTTCCGGGATTATCACTTGGTCCCGAGCCTAAGGAAGGGACCTGAATAGGGGGGAGGAAGGTTTGTAGCTTTTGGCTACAAACAGGTTCCTGTGGCTGTTTTCCAGTAGAATGCAGAGGGAAAACAAGGTCTGGTCCACTCATCCAATCAGCCTTCCTCTTACCCCTCCTTCACTGACACCAGGGTAAACTCCAGCCGTTTAAAGCACCCGTGCTAGAATTCACTCTTGTCTGTCCCTCAAGTCTTTGTGCCCTCGAGTGTCCAGATACCATGGTGGGGACATTTCTCTCTTCTCAGAAGATCTTGAGTGGACTCTTGTGTGAACTCCAAACACACATATGCATGCATTCGTGCATGTGCCTGTGTTCGGATACATAGACACCTATGTACTTGAGTTCATATGTTACCCTCCCTCGTGCATGCCCAGGGAACTGACCAGAGACAGCAGTGTCTAGATCAAAGGGAAGTCCTGGACCTGCTGGAATTGAGAACCCATGTGGAAAGTCCAAACCAACTCTACATGAGCCTAAGACATGAACTCAGTATTCAGAATCTGAGCACAGCCGGAGGGAACTGCGCAGGTCTGAGGCCAGGCTGTCTTACAATGCAAAGGTCTTATCCTGTGCTTCACCTAGGGAGCCCTGCCCTTTGTTCCCTTCCTTTTCCTTCTGTGGGAGGGAGGGTCTGCAGGTCCCTTTTTGACTCTTCCTAATCTATTTGCTCTGAGCCTCAGTTTCCCCAACTGTAAACATCTTCCTCTCAGAGAAAGGACATATTGTTTTTAAAAAGGAGTATGTTTGTGGACGGAACTCAGTGTCAACGCTGAGTACGTGCTCAGCAAGTCATAACCATTGCTTTGCCTGGGTTCCCCTAGAACTTGACTCTGACATTGCCCTTTCCCCACTGAAGGCCACAGTGCTCTAGGAGCTAGAATTGGGTATGGTTTGGTAGGTACTAAACTTCATCCACAGAGACACTTTTTTCCTCCCTCCCTCCCTCAATCCCCCTCCCTCCCCCCTCTTTCCCTTACCCATCCCTCCCTCCCCCTCCCTTCCCCCTCTCTCCCTCCCTTTTTCCTTCCTTTCTTAACAAAAAGATACTGGAAATGGAACACAGAACCTCAAGTGTGCTAGGCAAATGCTGTACCACTGAGTTGCTACTCATACACGTTCTAAAGCAAAATCTCCCTAAGAGGTTGTGGTGCAGGCTGCCGCTCTGGAGCGACTTAGTTTGAGTCTGGATCCTGGCCCTCCCGCAGTTCTACCTGAGTCCACTGTGTCATCCGCCCAGCGGGAGCTGACTGATGGCTAGGAAGAATTAATGGGTAGGCGGCTCACATGGTGCATTTGCAGAACGTGGCATACTTGGATTCTGAGTATGTGAGGCCCATTTGGAGCCTTTTGGGTCTGTCCCCGGAACACAACCCAAGGACAAGAGGGTGGAGGCCAGGTTCAGAGCGAACAGAGATCCCAGCTGGTGCAGGACAGCTCTGGTAGAAAAGAGCTACTTTGGGATGGGAGACTGGGCAAGGTGCTCTAGGAATATGGAGGCATAGGTGTAGGGATCATAGGGTCCCGAGGTATCAAGAAAGCTCAAGGCAGGGCCAGGAATGTGGCCCTCAGAGTCTTTAAAGAGGAGTCACAAGTCCATAAGTACAGCCCAGACTGGGAAGCCATCGAAGCCCAGGTCCCTCAGAGTGGACACGGCTCCTGCAGGCCATGCAACACAATAGTTGGGAGCACGGATACTGCGACCTTGTGACCTTGTTGTGGGGATCATGCACCTTTTTTCCACCTACCTACCACTGCACTCTGCTACCTCAGCGGGGTGTTGAGGTGAGTGGGGTGGGCCTATTGCTTCTCCATAGTTTGCCTCCCTGCCTGCTGCTGGCTGCCCTCCAGAGAGCAGCAAGAAGAAAACAGCCACCTCCGAGGGCACCGCAGTGGAGGCAAGTGGCTGCACCTCATCAGGTATGCCACATCATCAACACATTCACAGGATAGCTTGGGCTGGCAGAGCATAGCCAAAGGCCATACCCTGCCTGGTCCCTGGGGATCCTGCCTGGCTGCCAGCCTCTGTGCCCACCGAAGACACTTGTCGATGGGACTTAAGTCTGTGAGAAGACATACATACCTCTTCTACCTTCTTGGGTCCTAGACACACCTACCTCATGAAGGCAAACAATAGGGCCTAACTGAGGCCCTTGGGGACTGCACAGAGCTTACCCCACATGACTGTTTTCGCTTCTTTCTCCAGCTCCCTGTGTGTTCCTCTTGCCTGATCTCTCAAATTTCTTCCTTTCCCCTCGCCCTCCCCCTTCTTCCTCCTGGCCCTGTCCCTTTCCTTGGAGGAATCCCATCCCTTTCTTTTCACCCAGTAGCAGATCCAGGTTGACTACATCGCTCAGCATCTTCCAGAGAGTTCTTTAACACCAGTCTAACAAGACAACGGCCTAGCTGTGTAATTTTGCGCTGAAGCAATAAGACATAGACAGACTGGGTGGACAGTGGGTGCTTTTCTCATCTTTCAGGCTTTTCTCTGTCTCAAGCCTGTGGTCTCATGTGAAGCAGTCCCTTCTCCCCAGGTTCCCTGAGAGAGAGCCCGCAGTCAGAGCCCACCACAGTCTCGATGAATAGCCCTGTGAGTGTTCTCATGAAGTTTAGAAGTAGAAAGCCAGAGATAATCAGAGGCCATTGATAAGGTAGCGGCTGAAGCCTGGTGGTCCCTTCTCCACACTGCCTGCTTCCCTCTGCGCCAGGTTTCCCACCTGCCAGGGGAAGACCCCACTGTATCAAATGCAGTGGCCTGCCTGAGCTGACTCCTGTCCTCCACCCTCCTGACTTGGTTATTGGCTCCAGGCCTTCTGACCCACAGGTATGTTGGAAGGAAAGAGTCCCAGAACCCCAGAACCCACCCCTTGCCACTTCTGACTCTAGCTGAGCTTCAAGAGCCGTAGGTGGATGCATGATTGCACCTACCCGGACTCCTGGGGAGTTTGCTCATTCTGTGTCCTGGCGGAGGGCTCAGCTGGCCGCTGTGGAGGCCTCCGGCTTGACTGTGTCTCAGTGCATCATCTGGGGCAGCGGAGAAAGCTTTCTGGCTCGCCAGCAAGCCATGGAGAGGGCAGTGAGCACAGTTGGCAAGTCCGGCAGAAGTGGCCAGGCTGCCTTTTAGAAGAAACGTCTCCCAGGGCAGTTTCATAATCTGCCTTGTAATGCAGATTTAGACAACTTTTTAAAGAATGCACTTTTTAAAATAGGTCTTAATGGATCCTTTGCAGTAGTTACCGTCCATTGTGTAAATGCAAACAGAAGGCTTTTTGAAAACATGTATTATTGATCAGAAAGGCAGAAGCAATTAGAAGCCAGTGTGTCATATTGTTCAATATACACTTCCTATACAGCTCTGCTGAACTCACTCATAACTTCTGACAAATTATCCTGTCACCGGGAAGCTTTTTCCTTTCCCTTGGCTTCTGGAAGCAGAGGAGGGCCTATTTTCAGTCAGTTATTAGCTGGAGGGAAATGAAAAATTAAGCTTACCTTTATCATCACAAAACCTATCTCCAACTTCTCAAGTTTCAGACTAAAATAGCTAAACCTTCGGGAGGATGGATGATGCTCCCAGATTTGATCTATAGTGCAGTGGGGTGTGT